AACTTTTACTGTCTGGGAGAGTGCAGTATCTATATTCTGAATACTGATTAGGGACGTCCCCATCCAGCTTTTTTACCTTCCGATCCGATCCTGATCCCGGCCTATCGGAGCATGTGTTAAAGTTTAAAGTTATTTATTCTACTTACTTAGTTGTCAAACTCATGTTGAACAGGGATTTACTCTGATAACAACCTGATAACAACCTAATGGACCACAGACCTGTGGGTTACAGATGCTAATGCTAATGCTAATGTGGGATTGGACTAATCCAAGCCGGCCGATACACAGTTTTTTGAGAATATCTGGATCGGATCGGAACAAGCCTACTCAGCTGCCATCCAAATGGGGGGGAAATTAGTGGAAAAGGCTGAAAATATCCACATAAATCCAGGAAAACCAAACAAAAGCAACATGCCAAACGATCATAATGAAGCCCACGCTTTATTCCAAGATACCAATCCCTGCCTATCAGAGCATGTGTTAAAGTTTAAGGTTATTTATTCTACTTACTTAGTTGTCAGACTCATGTTGAACAGGGATTTACTCTGATAACAACTTAATGGTTAGCAGATGCTAATGCTAATGCTCGTGTGGAATCTGACTTTTTTTTAAAACTGGATCGACATTTTCTCAGGCCAGCCAATACGCACTTTTTTTCAAATATCGGATCGGGACAAGCTGCCACCCAAATGCACTGAAAATGAGTGGAAAAGGCTGAAAATATCCACATAAATCCAGGAAAACCAAACAAAAGCAACATGTCAAACGATCATAATGAAGCCCAAAAGTTACTCCAAGATGGTGGAATGACCTACCTAGGGATGTCCCGATCCAGCTTTTTCCACTTCCAATCCGATCCCCATCCCGGCCTATCAGAGCATGTGTTAAAGTTTAAAGTTATTTATTCTACTTACTTAGTTGTCAGACTCATGTTGAACAGGGATTTACTCTGATAACAACTTACAGTATTTTCCGCACTATAAGACACACCGGATTATAAGACGCACCTTCAATGAACGACCTATTTCAAAACTTTGTCCGAAAATAAGGCGCACCGCATTATAAGGCGCATACAATAGACGCTACAGTAGAGGCGCACTGGAATATAAGGCGCACTGTCGGCTTTTGAGATAATTTGAGTTTTTTGGGTGCGCCTTATAGTGCGGAAAATACTGTAATGGTTAGGACACAGACCTGTGGGTTAGCAGATGCTAATGCTAATGTGGGATTGGACTTTTTTTTAAAACTGGATCGACGTTTTCTCAGGCCAACCGATACACATTTTTTTGCAAATATCGGCGGCCGATCTGATCCAGATATCGGATCAGGAAAAGCTGCAACCCAGATGGGAGGAAAACGAGTGGAAAAGGCTGAAAATGTCCACAGAAATCCAGGAAAACCAAACAAAAGCAGCATGTCAAGCGATCAGAATGAAGCCCACGCTTTATTTTTTCCATTTGTTTTTTGGACATGAGAATATATTTGATAGTTTCGACTTAAGCTCTTTAATTGGACTTACTTTTATTTCTAACTTTTACTGTCTGGGAGAGTTCAGTATCTATATTCTGAATACTGATTAGGGATGTCCCGATCCAGCTTTTTTCACTTCCGATCCGATACCGATCCCGGCCTATCAGAGCATGTGTTAAAGTTTAAAGTTATTTATTCTACTTACTTAGTTGTCAGACTCATGTTGAACAGGGATTTACTCTGATAACAACTCAATGGTTAGGACACAGACCTGTGGGTTAGCAGATGCTAATGCTAATGCTCGTGTGGGATCGGACTTTAATAAAAACAGGATCCTACCTGAATGAAAAGAGAAAAAAAACTGTTAAAACTATGAGGTCCAAGGCCTGAAAATGAGGTAAAAAGAGCCTGAAGGTCCACTTTAAACTGCTTTAAAGTTTTTCTGCATTCATTATTAAGAGTTTAGTGGTTTAACAAAGAAAGAAAACATTCAGATTCATGTTGAACAGGGATTTACAACTTAATGGTTAGGACACAGACCTGTGGGTTAGCAGATGCTAATGCTAACGCTAATGCTCGTGTGGGATCGGACATTAATAAAAAACTGGATCTGCATTTTCTCCTGCCAGCCAATACGCAGTTTTTTTGCAAATATAAGTAGCCGGTCTGATCCAGATATCGAATCGGGACAAGCCTAGTTTAGACTAGACTTTATTCATCCCTTTGGATGAAACTCAAGTTATGTAAAGTGGTAAAATATGCAAGTTTTCCAGCAGTTTTTGCATGTATTAAGAGCATGTGTTAAAGTTTAAAGTTATTTATTCTACTTGTTTTGTGGTCAGACTCATGTTGAACTCTTATAACATTTACTCTGATAACAACTAGCCAGCTGAATTAGGGGAGTTTGAATAATAACAATTTGGTAAAGATACACTGACCTGGTTATTCAGGGATAAACACAAAATAGACTCAATTATAAATAACAAACGGAAATGGCATCGGTGAACAGTAAAAAGTGCAAATAATATTGTTAACGGTATTAAAAAGGAAAACAAACAAACAGCCTGAATAGAAAATAGTCTATTAACTCAGCATCCGTAAGAAACTCTTCTCCAGACCTCTGGACCCTCTACTCCTCTTTCTGAGCTTCCTTCTGACTCTGATTAGGGATTTTTCTCTAGAAATCTTATATTCATATTGATGATATCTGTAGAATTGTGTCTCCTTTGTAAGTGGCTTTGGATAAAGGCGTCTAAATGCATAAACATAAACATATTTTTCCAGGTTTTAGTCCAGATGAGAGGCTGTGAAATCCCTGTTTGAGAGGCCTAACGGCCGGCTTTTTTCCCACAGAGCAGCGAGACTGAGGTCCACTTCGACGTGGAGATCGCCATTAAGGTCCTGCGGCAGGCGGGTTACCACCGGCACGCCGTCTTCCTGGCCGAGAGGCACCAGCACCACGAGTGGTACCTGAAGATCCAGCTGGAGGACCTCAAGGTAAAAAGCATCCTTCGACCGATCCGGCTCCGATGGTGAGGCTGGTTTAGAGCAGAACATCTGTAACCTGCATTAAAACATTTAAACCTGCATTAAAACATCTGCAACATGCATTAAAACATCTGCAACATGCATTAAAACATCTGCAAAATGCATTAAAACATCTGCAAAATGCATTAAAACATCTGCAACCTGCAGGAAAACATCTGCAACCTGCTTTAAAACATCTGCAACCTGCATTAAAACATCTGCAACCTACATTAAAACATATATTAAAACATCTGCAACCTGCTTTAAAACATCTTCAACCTACATTAAAACATCTGCAACCTACATTAAAACATATATTAAAACATCTGCAACCTGCATTAAAACATCTAAACCTGCAGATAAACATTTGTAACTTGCATTAAAACATCTGCAACTTGCATTAAAACATCTGAACCTGCATTAAAAAAGCTGCAACATGCATTAAAACATCTGCAACCTGCAGGAAAAACATCTGCAACTTGCATTAAAACATCTGCAACCTGCAGGAAAACATCTAAACCTGCAGATAAACATCTGTAACCTCCATGAAAACATTTGCAACTTGCATTAAAACATCTATTAAAACATCTGCAACCTGCATTAAAACATCTGCAACCTGCAGGAAAACATCTGCAACCTGCTCTAAAACATCTGCAACCTGCAGGAAAACATATGAAACCTGCATTAAAACATCTGTAACTTGCATGAAAACATCTATTAAAATATCTGCAACCTGCATTAAAACATCTGCAACTTGCAATAAAACATCTGTAACCTGCATTAAAACATCAGCAACCTGCATTAAAACATCTATTAAAACATCTGCAACCTGCATTAAAACATGTATTAATACCATCTATTAAAACATCTATTAAAACATCTGCAACCAGCATTAGAACATCTATTAAAAACATCTATTAAAACATCTGCAACCTGCATTAAAACATCTATTAAAACATCTATTAAAACATCTGCAACATGCATTAAAACATCTATTAAAAACATCTATTTAAACATCTATTAAAACATCTGCAACATGCATTAAAACATCTGCAACATGCATTAAAACATCTGCAACCTGCATTAAAACATGTATTAAAACCATCTATTAAAATATCTATTAAAACATCTGCAACCTGGATTAAAACATCTAAACCTGCATTAAAACATCTATTAAAACATCTGCAACCTGCATTAAAACAT